ACTTTGTGTACACGAGAGTTCTCTCCCTTTTGATTAATACAATTTTACCTTATCAAAAAAAAACATAGCTCAAGGAGCTGTCTTACAAAGTGCTTTCAGGTTCTCTACAATTGCCTAGGATTACCTATGTTTCCTAATTATATGGCTTCAATCTCTTTCTTGGAGGTCAAATTACGGAAAGTTGAAATTTTCTTAAATTGTTAGATACTTGGATATGTAAATGTATAATAGTGAAAATACTAAAGTCCAACGCTGGTTAAATCTGCAATGCACTTTGTGAAGTGTGCCTGAAAAAGTTTTTAGGCCTAAGGCAATTGTCTTCACGCATCTTCCCAATTCTCTCCCTTTTTTCTCACATACATGTAATGGGGTCAAATTGAAAAGTGGGCGATCTTTTGTTATTTAAAGCTTTAGTGCTTGTAGGTCAAAATGAGGAGGATAGGCAGAGGTCTATTGAGAAGAAATTAAATGTATACGGAGAGAGATACATGAAAGTTGGTATTCGGATCATACTCCAGCTTCCAAGTGTTGGGATATGATTTTCATCGGCTGCTTGTACATGATCTGGGGATGATTTTCCATAAAAGCAAGCGGATATATTAAGAAATAAGTCTCTTAAATTCTTGCCTTGTTTGTTGTGTAATGTATCTGGTAATTATACACGACCGGAAGTTGTAGGGTTGATTGAGTGGCTAGTCCAGTTGGTAATTAAAATGAATTTATTCTCTTCAAGTTTTTCTATTAAGTAAATTATGCTATTGTTATTATTATTATTATTAAATAATTAAATTAAGATTTGAAAATGTCATAGTCGTGCTCATATACTGTCAAAGGTAAAAGCTCACCAAAATCGGTCGAACTAAACTGTATATCAGTCCGGCTTCAAATTTTATGCCAGTTGAGAAATACCCAGAGGTGAAAGGGGCAATATTGCTTTACCTAGAAGTCGGTACAGTAGAAGGTGTATGTTGAAAATTCCTTTGCTCAAAAGGAGACTTTAAAATCCCAGCATGGAACTAAGATGCTCTATGTAATAATCTCTAACTCCTACATGGTAGACACTTTCTTCTTCTAAACTCCATGCTAGTCTGGCCAACTAATGTTGTCTTCGGAGATATGAAGAGTCTGTCTGTGAAGTACTCAAAACTCAGATGACCAGTTTACACATTATTAGGTTTCGTTTCCTAATGAGTGGGTATGGAGAAAAATTGCAGTTAATATATTCCAATAAAAATGTTTTGGCCAGTTTATCCACTCTCTGTGAAATTTTATTAAAAATTGCAGTGTGGCTCGTTCATGCATTTTTTCAGTAAGAAGCAATTGCAATTACCAAATTCATATTTCCTAGATGATGCAAATAATCATGTTCTACTCTCTGCCTTTCTAAAAATATTTGCTACATGCTTAATTTATTAGCTATGGAGCGTCAATTTTTCTAGGATGATGCTTGTCCTTCTGATTGACCTTGTTACCTTTTCGGTCCATCTCAACTTATTTTATTTCCGTATTTGGCGAAGCTCCTCATCTAGAAGAAGTTGAAGTGATACTCCCTCAATTTCTGTCATGTTTGTGCTCATATACAGTAAAAGATGAAAGCTTCCTAAATAAGTTGAACTACTATTTATGTAGTTTAAAATACCTGGTCCTTAAAGAGGGGCGATTTTGCTTTATCCAGAAGTTGGTTGAAACATTTTAGTTATTAAAAGTAGACATTAGACTAAACACGGAACTAATATGCTCTATTGGAAACTGTAAACCTTTTGTTTTTAAAGTTTTAGCAAAGAAATCGCATCGTGTTGAACCAACTGCTCGCTTTTCACACTTTTCGGGCATATACTCTTCAAGTCCATGCTAGTCAGGTCAACTAAGAGGGATATCATGGCTAAATTGTTTTCTACTTTGTTTTGAAACTTGCTCAGACATTATTTTCTGGAACTGTTGCCGAAAATATTGGATATAGGGATAGAATGACTGGTATTGATATGGAGAGAGTGAAGCTTGCTGCAAGAACTGCAGGTGCAGATGAATTTATTGAATCACTTCCTCTTAGCTATGAGACAAATGTTGGACCTAGGGGCTCAATTTTTAGTGGAGGGCAGAAGCAAAGGTATGATACTTTCCCCAGCAATACATTTTGATTTTCTGAATTTCTTTATCTATCTCACTCGTGCACAATCAATCAGTAGTATGCCTTAGATTTTTAGAAAAAACTTTCCCCTCTTGAGAACTTAGTCACTATCACTTACTAGTCAAATGAAGGGAGTAACAGAATCACACAGCAAGAAAGTTTTCTGTCAATTCGAAAATGTTAGAAACTAATATCAAAGTCCGTGATTCTCAGGTTGGCTTTAGGTCTTCCTCTACAGCTGTTTTTTTCTCGACAAATTAATGTTTTGCCAAATTCATTTTGGATCACCTTTTCAGGCACTAGAGCTTCTTTTTTTCTTCAATTTTTGGTGGTCAGTGTTTGTGGATCTCGGGTGTGTTTGAATTCAGCCTCTCGTTAGATCGGTACTGAAGGATTGTCTGGGATAGGTCGTTAGGGAATGCAATAGAACATGATATCTGATGCTCCTTGTTCCCAAAAGACTTTTTGCAGTTGCAAATATAGAGCTGTAAAAGCGGACCTTTGGATTAGGGAAGTTCCTCTCATTCCTTTTTATTGTTTTCATCTCAGAATAGCTATTGCTCGGGCACTTTATCAGAATCCATCTATTCTGATTTTGGATGAAGCTACTTCGGCATTAGACAGCAAATCAGAGTTATTGGTGAGACAAGCTCTGCAGCGGCTGATGCAAAATCGTACTGTAAGTAAAAGAAGCTTCTATAGTTTTGTTTATTGTTCAGTACCATGGCTTCTCCACTTCCCCTCTGTCCCTCGTCATTATTTTACAAGACAAGTTAGAACTCAGGTCCTCTCTATTAACCATGATAAAGCATATCTATTGGAAATAATTACAAAAAAACAAAATGCCTGTTTTGATAAAGCAGGGTTCCCCCCACAGTAGATGAGTGATGAGACATAGTTAACAGTGTCCAGAAGATATAGAACCTTGCATTACATCTGGAAGGGGAGTAAATGGCTTTTAATTCCTCTTTTCTGTGGTGGAGAATCTGAGCTTCCAACTCAACACCATAAGGCTATGACTTGAGTGCCCCAAGACTTTTGTAGACCTCTTTGGAAGTCCTTACATAGTCCATGGGAGTCACTATGTAACTCAACAAAAGTTAACTTGTTATGACGGGTGTATGTAAAGCAAATTAAACTGATTAACTGACGCCGAGAATGGGATCACTAAGAGGTTGGAAAGTAGACAGAGGAGCATTGTGTCTGCTCAATCGATCTTCCGAGTAGGGATGTTTGTGAAGATTTGAAGTTCTCTCCTTTCCTTTGCCCACTTGCCCCTCGTAATCACGGAGGCTGGCAAGGTTTGTAATTCCAGATTAGAAGCAAATCATGATGTCTGGAACATTTCTCATATCATTTGTGTTTTCCTCAGTATGTCTTCACATCTTCCATGTTGAGATGCGATGAAAAACAACATAAACTTGTTTGCACCCAAACTTTGGTGAAGACCACTTCTTTTCCGTTCTATTCCTTTTTGGTAATGGACATCCACAAAGGATATGGTTGAACTGGTATAAGCGCAGAGTGGAAAACACTTTCACATTATTATATGTTATGTTATGCTCTTCAAATCAGGATCTATAATTTCTGAAATTTAAGTAGTGCTATTATCCCAAGAGGGATGGGTAAATTGTACATACTTAGGATTTGAACTTTCAACTTAGAGGAATGATGTGGAGCCCTTCCAAGAGCCTGAACTGGTACGGCGCTGATGTTCTTAAATCTGTCTCAGCTGGACTTTTACTTTACAAAAAACAATTCCTGCGTTGCATAGTACTATGCGATCCAGGTGACACAGCTACTGATTATCACAGTCTGAAATTTTATTATTATTGTTTTATGTACCAGAGAGTAAGATTTGTGTGGATACCTCTTAATGAAGAACTTTCTGGACCTTGCCCTGTGTACTTTTATTTTTCTTTGTTGAATGGAAGAACTGAGTTTGTGGCTATTTTTAGATCTGACATGCATCATATGTAGCCAAAGAATCATGTTCATTCTTGTCGATCAAACATCCTTCACGAATGCTGTTGAAAACATGCACGTAATGCGGCAAATTTGCTGTTGAAAACGTGCACGGGATGTGGCAAATTTGCTGTTGAAAACGTGCACGG